GAAAGGGGAGGGGGGAAGGGACGGGGGAAGGAGGGGTGGCAATGCCATGAACCTCAAGATGTTATGAGCAGACTGCAGCCAGGAGGGAACCTTCTAGTTCAAGACTGCAATAGATGACTCCGAAGTGATGAGGCCTTGGTGATGTTGTTTGACTTAAGCAGTTGAGACTGCTCTGAAGTGATATTTGCTTCTAACTTCTAGGAAGATTAAAAAAAAAAAAAAAAAAAAAAAAAAAAAAAGAAAAGAAAAGAAAGAAAGAAAGAAAAGAAAAAAAAGATAAGTTGCTGACTACCTGATATTCCTGATATTCCTGCAGGCTGGTACACTCTTGGCAGGTCATTCGCCGGTCCTGGAGTGTGGGCTAAGCGAGCATATCACAAGTTGTTGTTGCCTACATGGTGTTCGTATACCTCGTCTATGACCACTGCCCCCACAGCTTGGGGCTCTGCGATAGAGGTAAGGGGTACCTTTATATTTGTGAAATGGGCATGGCAAGACTATCGGAGCTTTTGTCAGAAAAAAAAAAAAAAAAAAAAAAAAAAAAAAAAAAAACAATATCATACTTGATCCCTGGGCACGTACAGAATGACTTGCGTAAATTGTGCTGATGTGTTGGTTGTAGCGTATACGGAGTATTGGCCCCACTATGCCTATAGTGGCATGTGGACGCATTCTTGGGAATTCCTAAGCACGGCATAAGATATGCCTGGAACCTGGAGCAGCCCGACAGGCAAAGCCTCAATTCCGGTGGTTCTCTTACCACCACCAGGATAGAGGCCTTGCAGAGGGGCCTTAACCACCACTCCCCCCCGACGTTGAAAAATAGGCTTTCCGGCAATGCAAGCGGAGGTTGGCGAAAGAAAAGAAAAAGGAAAAAACGCGAACTTTGAGGATTTTCCGCGCTCAGAAGAATGAACCAAAAAACCTGAAAATTTGAGATCCGGTAGTTTCTGTCGTGATCTTTGCGGGAAAAATATTAGAAAAAAAAAACAAAAAATTGTTTAGACGACGGTGAGATACCCGCCACGCCTTTTCCACTTTTGCCACTCTGCCAAAAGTACTCCAACTTCAGCGATTTTTCACGCTCAGAATTATGTTCGGAAAGATCTGGAAATTTCAGATCCGGTAGGTTTGGTAACTTTGGTCATCTTCTTTCCAGGAAAAAATGTGAAAAAGATTTTTTTTTAAAGTATATTCAGTGAAATAATTGCCGCGCCGGTTCGGCGCAAATTCCAATTTTGCCACTCAACCGGTTATCTACACTATGGTACCGGTGGCCGTCATGAATTTGTGCAACCGGTTCCCATATTTTTCAGTGGCAGGGGGAATGGTGCTTACAAAAGAAAAAAACTCCTAAGCAGATTTGGCGAGCCCTGATCTCCGTCTCGAAGTTGTCTAGAGTCTAGATGGCCAGCTTTATCAAGGGTTCTATATATAATCCTTTTATTAATTTTACATGTTTTTCTGTTTTCATTCCAATCTGTTCATCAAAATAATGATAATCTTTACTTGATCATGAGCGAAAAGTTAAGTGTAATTGAGCTTTGAATTCTACGGATTCTTGTGTAAGCCTCACAAAGAGAGTGCATTCGACCTAATGGAAAGTTCATGTGTGCTGCTTGAACGTTTCACACGGTAGCAAACGAGAGCTGCCAATCGGCAAAAAAATCGATGCCCTTCATTTGATAAACCACCGGTACTTTTGACGCTTCCCTTGCCAAGCCTGGAAACACCCTGTGCGCTAAAAGAAAACGAAGCGGCGCAGCCCGTCTTGTGGCTGGTGCCGCGATCAATTTGATCTGGTAGGCCGACACCTGAAACTTGCGGCTGCATGCACGCCATGCCAGAGAAAAATGCCCGGCAAATGTACTGGTGGTGTCAGGCGTGGTCGACATAGGTCATGGGCCGATTACATGTCAGTCTAGTTTTCTAGGACGGGTCTGGTGGAAGGGCAGGCCCAGCCAAACTTCTAGTCCATGGTGCACCCGTATCTTGAAGGCTCGCCAGCGGAATCCCAACAGGTACATACGGCTCATCAGGTCAAGTTAGCTCAATGGGCCTTAGACGTCATCAGCCCCTTGTCATCATAAAATAGTATAAATATATTGCTCCCTTGCCGTGCTTGTTCGCTGCAGTGCTTCTCTATCGTCATTGTTCATATCGTCATCATTGTTTCAACATCACGCTTTGTAACCGTTGTCATTTGTATTTGTACCCTTAACCTGAAGGGTACAAATGACAACGGTTGCAAAGTGTGATGTTGAAACCTCCTCCGCTACCCCTCTTTCTCTTTCCCCTGCTCCTCATGGTCTACCTACTTCCTTTCTTTCCTCCTCCTCCTCCTCCTTCCTTGTCACCACCCTCTGCAATCCGTTCCTCATCACGTAAGGAATCTCAACAGTAAAGCATCATCATTGGTGTGTGGCAGTAGAGAGAGAGAGGGGGGGAGCCGGGGAGGGGGGGAGGGGGGGAGGCGGGAGGGGGGGCTAACTCTCACTTCTTTCTCCCCTTGCATGTCACCCCGTCCCGCTTCTCGTTGCCTGTCTTAATTTCCCTTTGCTGTCTTTTTCCCACCATCCATGCACCCCTCTCGCTGCTCACAGCCCGCATGCTGCCTATCCCGTATCTTAGCTTTCATCTGCATGCCCTCTTCCTGCCCCTCCACATGCTTCCTTCCCACTTCTTCCCACATCTGCTGTCTGAACCTCTGGTTTCGGAGCTGGAGTGCCCGCTTTCTGGACCTCTGGCTTTGGAGCAGGAGTGCCAGCCATGAGGGAGGAAGGAGGGAAGATTGCGTGCAGGCTAGGGCAAAAGGTGAGATCGCGGTTTGGCTGCTCTTTGACAATGTTGGACTAGGATGGATGAATGAATGAAAACCGAGCCTTGTTGCCCTGCAACATTGGTGCTATGTTTGTGCTTAGAAGTCACGAATGTCGTCACAAGAACTGGCCGGATATGTGCTGGCATAGGTCAAACATAGCACCACTGGAAACCACATGACCACGACTGGCCGGATACGTGCTGGCTTAGCTCAAACATAGCACAAGCGGAGCCAGACCCTAAGTAAATGTGTGAGGAACAGCGTTTCTCAGTGGGTGGTGATCTGACACAAATGTGTGGGAAGCGGTCCGTGAAATGAAGGAAAGCCTTGTAGAGATCGGTGAAGTTGGTGCTCGTTGAGAAGTAGAAAAGAAATTGTGACGTCCGGAGGTGATGATGTTCACTGTGGGAATATCTCAAAGCTTGAGGAAACTACTTTTCTATGCGTCCCCCACGGTGCCCCTGGTAGGTGCGAAGTGTGGTAGGTACTACGAGCCCTCTGCCCCGTTCAAAAAGATATTCGAATGGTTCACCGGTTCCACCGTATGCTCTCTGGGTTCAATTGAGTATGCAGGACACTTCTGGTGCTGTTGCCACTTTGTGGCCTGGTTTCGTCAATGTCCGGGCACATACGATTTTTGACGTCGCTCTACGAGGGAAGACGTTTTGCGATCTTGTAGCGGATCCTATTTTACTTCAAGGGTAGTCGAGAAGGGAACAACAGAGACCACACTCGCACCACAACTTGTTTGGGTGAATTTTTTTTATCACAATCATTGTCAAAAACCAGGTCCCTGGAAGTCGGGGCGGCGCTGGCACAATATCAAGAACAGTGTTACAACTTACAATTTCCAAAAAAAAAAAAAAAAAAAAAAAAGACTGAGGGTCGCTTACAGAGTTCCTTACTAAGTGAGTCTTAAACTGGAGATTTAAAAATGGAATAAATTTTGAAATTTGAATAATAAAATAGAATTATGGTATGCAGTACACCTACTACACACACCTTTAAAGCTTAAACTTTTTAAAGCCCTTTAAACCACCCCTCCCCCCAGCAGCCTAAAGTCGATTTTCCGGGGAGTTCGGGCCGTGAACGGTACGGGGTCGGCGACCACAAACGGGAAGACAAAAAAAAAAAAATGCATTCGAACTTCGAAGTTGAGAAAAAGTCGGTGCGCGGTTTCCAATTCGGGCGCTTGTTTTTTGAAAGAGGCGCTGCACTTTTGTTTTTCTTTTGTTTTTTTTGTGTGATAAAAAAAAAAAAAGCCTGGTAAGCCGACACCCGAAACTTGCAGCACAACATGGAAATATACACCGCATTGACCGCAATCATTTCCGTTTTCCATGCGTGTCAGGGGCAGTGGAGTGAGGCACGAAATGCGGTGGCACCTGCAGTTTCGTTTTCATTTTCTTTTTGCAGAGTAATAAACAAAAACAAAAAACAAGATTGAAGTGAGGCCCACCCTGTACTACGCGTAGGCTGAAGGTGAATTACTAATATCGGCCTACCGGTCCCCCCGACTTTCAGACGTCAGGGGGGCTGGTGGTTTAAGCGTGCTTTATAAACCCCTTCCAAAATCCATAAACACTGAAAAACAGAAAAAAAGGCCACTTCCAGGGGCTGACGGCCTAGCTCAGTTGGTAGAGCACGAAAGTGGCATTCAGGAGGTTGTGGGTTCGATTCCCCACGGTCTTCATTCGAGCCCCCGCAGTCTCCTGCGGCTCACTACGGGTTCACCAGCTGAGTTAGTCGGCTTGCCCCCTCTATTAGGGCTTGGTAGGGCTTACCTTGCCAACCCATAACTGTCAGGGGCCCCACTGCTAGGGCTTGGCGTGCATAGATATAGGTTCTAGCCTTAGAAGCTGCGCCTTAGACTCTAGTCTTAGACCCTTTGATGCCCTTGGTGTGCGATGCGCCCTGATCCCTTGCTTGTCCAGCGTAGGTAGTGCGAGGTACAAAACGGAGAGAGGATGATAGCATTAAAAAAAAAAAAAAAGATGTGGCTGTCCTTCATATGACGAGTAGACAAGCCTGCTTTAAGAAAAAGAAAAGAAAAAAAAAACTCCTAGAGTGAGCCAGACTCACGACGACTTCATTTATTTCTGTTATGGGAGCTGGAAGTCGGAACATCATCCCATTTCTGGCTTCACTGACAAATTCTGTTATCTAACTTATCTTTGGTGTATTATTTGCGGGCGAATTTTGCGCATATATCGTCAAATGTTTTACTGTGATGCAATCAAGAGCAGCTTCAGCCGGTACAGAAGGTTTTGGACTTGCGGTTTCATCCCGGTGGTGAGCCTCAGCTTGTCAGCGGTTGCAGTGCGGTAAGTTCTCGGCAAAAGCAGCCTCCTATCATTTTGAGTGAACAAAAAAAGAAAAGAAAAGAGAGAGAGAGAGAGAGAGAGAGAGAGAGAGGGAAGAAAGATAGAACAGAATGCAAATGGTTTTCTTGTCCTTCTTTTTTATATCTTTTTGGATGGCATGTGAGTTCATCTGAGATATTTGAACAGCCATTTGGTTAAAACCAACGTTTCTTTTTCGTTTAGCAAAGTTGGGATTCAAAAAAAAAAGTCAAAAAAAACTTGAAAAAACTTCAAAAAAGTAAAAAAAAACTGAATAATTTTGAGCATTTTGCTTCCGCAATACGTTAGACCATTGATGGTCTGGCTTCCCTAGGACGCTGGACGATCTGATGTACCTGGATGGAAAGTGTCGTCCAAATACATCCGAGGATCCAGAGAAAAGAAGAAACTTCCAGGTACATCAGATGGTGCAGCGTTCTGGGGACGTTGAGCCATCAGTGGTCCGATGCTGTGGGGATGCAAAAATGCTAAAAAAAATTAAAAAAAAGTTTTTTTGGGAAGCCCAGTTTTGTTAAAGCACCACTACCTTTCTCACTGTTGGGAAAATGAGAAAATAGTTCTTCAAAATACCTTTTTTTTTTTTTTTTGGAAACCTCACTGCCATGCTAGGAGGGGTGATATGAGCACCCCCTCCTACCGGGCCGCTTGGTGCTCCAATCTATTGGCGGGGAGCAGCACCTGCTGGAAACGGGTCCAGCATCCCACTGAACATCTCAAGGCTGAACTTCACTGTGTCACCTGCCAGCATTGATTGCCTGTGTTACCGGGGATTGACTGTGCAGGCACTGTCGAACATAACCAGATAACAATACCATACGCGGATGGCCACCTCTTCAGCCCCACACAGGCCACCAGAACAAACATCGCTGCCGTAGTGACCCCGCCCTAGACAGGGCGCGCATTCCATCGCCCAGCCACCAGTGCCGGCCCTTCCTGAGCATCAGCGGATCTACAAGCTGCTCTGCCCACTCACTGCCCTGCATTCCTCGAACCGCTGCCTAGTTGACATTCGCTTACTCTGCCCCGTAGCATTGCATGTCCACCATAGCCTGTTGATGGGGTGGGAAGGGGTCCGGGAAATCTGAGGGTGGGCGCCACGGGACCCCTTGATCCATAAAATGGGGAAATACTATAATAGCCTTCTAAAAATTGGAGGCTAGGCCCGACGACCGCCACCGTTGATAAATCTCATCGGCGGTCGCCGTTTTGTTTCGGCCTGCTATAGAATCGGGGGCCCGACGGCTGGCCACATGGGAAAACGTAGTGGCGGTTTAAACCAGGGTTGCATACCTGCCAACCGCCAACCCCGTCCGCTGACCGTTTTGCAGCCGACCGGTCGGCAGTCTGCCGACCAGTCAGTAAACAGCCATCCACTGTTTTTTTTTATATATCTGACTATGGGGCTGCACTGCGCTTGCTGAGTACAGCAAATCCGCTGAGAAACTTTTGGGGATGGGGGAGGATAGTGGGGGTTATGAGGGGGTGTATAGTGGGGATATGGGGGGGTATAGGGGGGATATACGGGTGTATACGGAGGATTTGGCGGTATTTGGAAGGGTTATGAGGGTATTGGGGGGCGGTTTAGG